GGGGGGGGGAAGAGGTGGGGAAGGCGGCAGTGGCGGGCGGTAGCGGCGGGCGGCGGGCGGGGGCGGGTGGCGGCGGCAGGCGGCGGATTGCGGAGGCGGCGGCGCACGTACCGGTACAAGTGCAGGCTGTCTCTCGGCTCTCTTTCGGCTCTCTCTCGACATCTCGGCTATCTCTCGGCTCCCTCTCGGCTCTGCCTCGGCTATCTCTCGGCGCACCAAACAGGCGCAGCCCTCGCTTCATGGCATCGGTGACAGCCTCCTTGCGCGCATTCTCGATGGCCTTCCCTCGGTCCTTGTCGACCTTACAGCCCGACCCGACCTAGCCGAGACGCGGCCGAGATGCAGCCGAGAGGCAGCCGAGAGGCAGCCGAGAGGCAGCCGAGAGGCAGCCGAGAGGCAGCCGAGAGGCAGCCGAGAGGCAGCCGAGAGGCAGCCGAGAGGCAGCCGAGAGGCAGCCGAGAGGCAGCCGAGAGGCAGCCGAGAGGCAGCCGAGAGACAGCCGAGAGGCAGCCGAGAGGCAGCCGAGAGGCGGCCGAGAGGCAGCCGAGAAATGGCCGACAGTTTGCCTCGTCGTGAAAGGTGCCGTTGCGGAGTGAGATGCGGACCGTCGCGGAGTAGCTGTACGTCCAGCGGCCGTTCTTGCTGTCATGGTCCTCGTACTCTCTCTGCGCGGCGGGCGGGGAGCGGGCCGATTGGCCGCGTGCGGCTCGGAGAGCAGGCGGCCACCTCGAACCGCCGCGCCTGCAGCTGGAGGATCCTCGACGACCAGCCATCAAAGCCGAAGATCTCTTGCGCCTTGGCAATCACCCGCCAGCCTTCGACGTAGGCAACCTGGCCGGCACTGCCGCCCGATCGCGTCGAGATCTCGTCCGAAGTCAGGTTGGTACGCAGCTGGTCTTGCATCCGGTTTTGCTCTGCGCCGTCAAACGGCCGGGCCGGGTGCTGAAGATCAACGACGCCCCCCCCGCCGCCCCCGCCGCCCCCGCCGGCGCCGGCGCCGCTGCCGCCACCGCCGTCGCCACCGCCACCGCGTGGCTGAAGGTGCTGCAGCATCGTGTGTTCGCTCCCGACGACTACTGGTCGGCGCTAGCCGCTCAACTGCTCCCCGGCGGCCTCGCAAAAAAGAATTTCGCCACTTTTCTTTCTTTCTTTTTTGGGTTGTCTGTTTTGTTTGTTTCTTTTACCGTGAGGTGTGATTCATGGGCGCGTAAAGGGTCAGTCTGGACTCCCGTCTTCCTCTACGACAGAACTACCCAGTACACACACACAGACACACACACACACACACACACAC